TTATTGAGAATTAAGGATTTGATTGATAATCCTATTATGTTTTTCTATCACATTCTTTTACTCATTTTCAACCACATATGTTTCAATAAAATAATATTTTCCATCACATCAATAACGTTTCCTTCTTTTTTAACCACACATTCTCCATCAATTTACTATTCCAAAATACATTCTTCCAAAATAATGTGGTTCATACACACCATTAACTTATCTAATGTTTGACAACCATTATTTGAAAACTTTTTTTTATACATAATCATTTTGAATCACATATTAACACAATAAAATATTCTGCATTAAAATCAAAATTTTTCTCTACCTTTTAACCACACATTTTCGTAAAAATCACTATTCAAATTATTATTTTTTGAAAATAATGGTCTTCAAACAGTTGTTGAATTGATCTGCATGATTAACTTGCTCGAAGTTCCTCCAAATTGAATAAATAAAATAAATCAAAACTATCAAAAATTTTAATTTTCAAAAAAAAAAAATCAAAAATTTATGTGATTTACTTTCCTTTTTCTTTTAAACAAAAAGAGAGAGAGAGAATAAAAAAAAAAAAAAGAAAGAAAGAAATTACAAAGCAAAGTAGGTGGGCCCATTTTCATTGCATGTATGCTACGTAATGACTAACGAGCATACTATGGGGATGTTGTGGGCCACGCTCAGCTGTGTAGCTGAAGAAGAGCCAAAACCAAGAAATGGACATTTTATCATCATTACTGAAACGCAAGCATACCTCTTAAAATGCTTAAATTAATCAAAAAGTTTTCAGATCAGACCATTTCTATAAGAAATTCGAATACGTCACGCCATAGACAACAATTCCCTCCTTAATTTAATATTAGGATGCGTTTGCTTGCGAGTATGAAATTTGTATTGAAAAAAATATAATCACGTGATCAAAAATAGAAAAATATTTTTATTGAAAAAAAATTGTCAATCAAACAATACAAATGTAAAAAATAAGGTGAAAAAAATACATTTTTCATGAAAAATATTGACAATCAAACGCAATTCTCACTGACTACAAATACTAACCAAAATTACAGCATTTTATAGGAATATTAGAAAGAAAAACGTAAACATTTCTTTACTTCTACTTTATAAGAATAATTTTTTTTTTGATAAACTCGTCCGAGATTTTTTTTAAAAAAAGTTAAAAATAAAATAAAATATTTATAGTTGATTAAATGATTTGGGGGCCTTAAACGAAATTTTAAAGGGGTCTTCAAAAGAATAAAAGAGAGTAACGGAATAAATGATACAAATCTCTAATAAAAGATTCCGGCATTTCATTAAAAGGAAAAAAAAAAAAAAAGAGAAAAATAAAATTTTGAATGAGAATAACACCAAGTAAATACAAAAAAGGAGAAAAAAAACAATTAAATTCAAACAAGCAGTTCAATTCGACTAAGTTCTCGTTTGATATTGCTTTTAAGTGCATGTAACAAGTGAATCTTACAAAGATTGTGAATAATAAGTGAATAGTAAATTGTGGGTCGTATGAAATGTACAGATAAAAAATATGATTATGACGGAGCATGTTAAGAGATAAGTTTCAAATCGATTCAATATAGAAATATTAATGGGTTTGAGCCACTCCTATGAATTAAAGTTGATATTTTAAAATAAAACTTCAAATCTTAATACTTAATATTAATATCGTACATGTCGTAAATGTGTTGAGCTGTACATGTCATGAACAATTCAAGGATGTTAGGGGTAACTTTTGTTTTTTGTCCAAATTAGATTTTTTTTTTTTTTAGAATATGAAAAAAAAGGAATATGCACTGCACTCAGTCTATCAATGCATTTCTTTTGTTATTATTTTTATTTCAAGTTCCTTTTTAAATTCAATTTTTGGTAACAACCTTCATTTCTCAATTAAGAAGTGCTTGCCTACTATTACTTTTAAAAAAATATCAGATATGTGGTAGTAATATATTTTGCGATGGATTTTGGTACTTTATACAAAGGTCTTTTGCTGTCGCAAACCACAGAGAGAGAGAGAGAGAGAGAGAGAGAGAGAGAGTATGAAATTTTTATTTTTTATTTTTTTGTTTTGACGATCAAATAGACAATTTCTATCATAAATGAATGCTCAACATTCAATTTTCGGGATCTAAATGGATCAAAATTAAGTTGTGGACCTACTTCATTTCCAATATGTTATACTACGACAGGAAGTTTTTTGAATTTTCACACATAAAACAAGAAGAGATACACGCGTTCAAGAAGGGTAAAATATGTAGCTCATGAATAATCTGAAGAAGGGTCCACATACTGCGAGAATTATGCACTATTTCACATAGAATTGTAAAACTAATCACGTTTTATACAAAGTATAGTGGTAACCCTGGTCTTATAGCAAATCATTACCTTTAAATGTAACGTTCGTGTTCAGATGATTCAATGATGAGACGGTTAGCGCAGTCACAAGATTAGAACCCGCTTTGCCAGATAGATAGACATATGCATTATCACATTCTGACAGAAAAAGGTAATAAAGTTGTCGATTGCATTGGAAACAACGATAATACCCAACACGTGTAATAACTCAATTGTTTCAACATTTATTTTAATTTTATAAAATACTTAAATATGGTAAGTAATAAGAGAATGTACAATGGATGTACACTTGAGTCCAAAGTTCACCTTATTGGCAATATGGTCATTTGATTTCATCACCAAATATTGTTTATCTGGTGTGGGTATATTTCCAATTTTTTTTCCAAGTAAATAAGTTGTAAAGTAAGTAAATATTATAAAGTAATTTATACTAATAGCAATCCATAACCTTTTTTATTTACAAGTAAAAAAAAAACATATTTATTTGTTTTTTAATTATTATTCTAAAATGCATAAAGCGACAAGCATAGCTAGGAGGCAAATCAAGTTTCAAGCTTTATGTCTTAACCATTAAAAAATAGATAAAAAAAAAAAAGGGCAAAGCGTGATTAGACAGTAAGGTCAAGTTTTAATCTAGACAAAAATTATACGAGCATTTTAGGACAATACATTTTTACAATAAGTGGGACCCACCCTTCATAGAATGAAAATTTCTTTAAGGTCCTTCAACTACGGCAATTTGTTTTGATGAAGCGACATTTTTGGCTTATGGTATTTTAATTGGTTCATTCCTAGCTAAGCTAGTGAATCATCGTCTCCTTCTACAATTTTTCCACCCTTAGCAACCCCGTATATTTCTTTATCCTTCCTGTGTACTACCTCTCCCCACCCACCCCACCCCACCTTACGGACCCCACCTCTTCCTCTATTTATACCATCAGGCTACTCACAAAAACTCAGTAGTAATTAAGTTTCTAATTTACTTTCCCTTTTGCTCAAGCTAGCCATGTCTGAAGGAGGAAATGGAAATGAGAGATTCTTATGGGATGATGATCAGTTATGGGATTTTCAAATTCCAGGCAACACAGAAGTAATTACTAATCAACATTTGGATAGAAGGATGATGGATATCATCAATATAAATAGCCCGGATGATGAGGTGGCGAAAGATGTTCAAGTGCCAACTCCAATGCCACCGCCACCGCCACCGCCAAAGCCGCCAGCCACTGCTGCAGGGAAGAAGAGGAAAGCTGCAGGTGGTGCTGACAAAGGTAAGGGGAAAAAAGTTGTCAGTGAATCTGATCACGAAACGCATATTTTGACGGAGAGAGAGAGGAGGAAGAAGATGAGGGACATGTTTGCCTGTCTTCATGCTTTGCTACCTCAACTTCCTGCAAAGGTTCATTAAATTTTCCAAATGGAGTAAAAGTTCATATATATATATGTATAAACGGTGTCCTTGTTGAAGCTAGGGTATCCCATATACACATATAAATGTGTATATATCTCTCTCTGTATATAGAGAGAGAGAGTTGCCAAAAAATTGTTTTTTCTCTCCCGAAAAAGTAGCTTTTCTGGCCCTGAAAACTTAACAAGAGGATCCCTTTTCAGTTTTAATATTCCTAACTATGGTTGTCTCTATATACACCAGGTTTCAAAAGAAAATCTTCTGATTCAAGTCATTTTCAGATCAAACCTGGTTCTTTGTCAAAATCAAGAATCCAACTTTAGATTTTTTTTCTATAAAGATTTTGAGCTTTTCTTCTGTAAGTTTTAAGGATGCAGTCATTTTTATAACCTTAAACAGGTGAGCATTTCTATGATTTGTCAAAATCAAGAATCCAATTGCAAAATTGAACTAGTAAAAAGTTGTAGTTGTCTTTCTAAATCAATGAAGAAAAAAAATACTTATTTTTGGTTAATAATTTTAGTCCATGTTTTATCTTTAATTGTGATTAATTAAGGACACATTTATTGTGATTAATTACGTTTTGTCCCTTGTTATATATGCAGGCTGACAAGTCCACGATTGTTGATGAAGCAGTGTCCTACATCGGATCACTGCAGGAAACACTTGAGAAACTGCAGAAAAAGAAACTTGACAGGGTCCGTGGGATGACTAATTCCACCGGTTCCATTTTCGCCCCGAAAATGGCAACGGACTCGAGGGAGGCATTTTTAGCCGAACAAGGCGCAAGTACCTCGACTGCTATTGCTATTCCTCCGGTTCCTAAATTTCCAACTACACCCAATTTTCAGACATATACTTCTCCAAATGTTGTCCTAAACACATTTGGTGAAGATGCCCATATCAGCATTTGTGCTGCTAAAAAACCAGGTCTGTTCACTGCCATTTGCTATGTTTTGGAGAAGTACAGATTGCAAGTGGTTTCTGCCCAAGTTTCGTCTAATCAAAGCAGAAGCGCGTACCTGATTCACACCCATGTAAGTTCATCGTGTCACTTTCTATCAACACACACAGAACACACATTGTATGTGAATTTTATGTACTAAGTTTGGCGGTTTCAAAACTAGGGTTTTGTTCATTAGTGGAAAACGTGAGCCTGGCGAAGCTTTTTGGTTGATTATAGCTGGTGATTAAGAAAATAATGATTAAGCTCTACTTAACCATGGTTGGCTTTCCGGCCACACATGATATGTCATATGTGCATAGCAGAGAATACAAGATATATACTGATTTCATGTCTCAACAAATGAACTCATCCAGAAGTGAGGAGTCGTGTTGAAGACGGATTAAATACACAAACTTGTCCCATCTCTGTTGATACTAATTCCACCTACAATTGAACAAATCAAACAATAAGTTTATGGAATTAACAATAAAGGAAATCAAGTGAAAAAAAAAAACTAAATTTGAAGAACAATGAATTCCCAGGCTTAGAAATTCTTAATCCAACACCACAAAAGTAACACCAATTGGAGAATTTGGAAGTAGAAAGAATTGCACACAAAGGCAGGAAGAAGAACAATGGAAATTGGCACACAAAGGCACAGTGAATGGAGGAAGAAGAAGCCGGTTTCTTCAAGCTTTTTTTTTTGTGTGTTTAAATGAGGACAAAAGACTCCAATTTATAGGCAAAATAGACAAACGAAATTCCAGATTTTTCTCTCCAAGATAGAGTTCAAGAAGATTGAAATGGTTACCAAGGATAAAAATATCATAACCATATAACTTCCATGTGAGAAAAGAGATAGAATTCCCAAGTCAAATTATCTCCACAATTGGGTTTTGAGCACCTAATTAACCCAATGAGTTGATTTCCTCTAAATACTCAACAAGATTGAGCTACATCATTTGTGGTGTGGATTTTAATATGAGGAAATTACACAAAACCAAAATTTTAAAGTTACAATTTCAAATTTCAGATATAAACTTTATTTATACAAAAATCAGATATTAATTTATCTATTTCATCTACCTTCTCTCTCTAAATTATAATTACCCAAACCTAACCCTAATTTTATTTTCTTCCCCTCCTTTTTCTCTCTCTTCCCCTGAAAGAAATGGCCGTTGCAACCACTTCCTTCGCCGCCAAATCTGTATTGTGGTCGTCTTCCATTCGTAGCGCCGCCACTAGGTTCGACTCCCAAGTGAAGGCTGTTCGCTTCCCCTTCCGCCTTCCTTCCAGGACCCCCATGGCTCACCGTATTTTCCGGTGTCCAGCTGAGATGAGTTCGTGTGTTGGGTCAGTGCTACCCTACCACAACGCTACTACCTCAGCTTTGATGACGTTGATGCTCACTGTCTCTCGCTGCGGTTACGGTTGGCTTCCTGAAGATATCTAGCAAAACCTGTAGAGCAGTGATGGCGATGGCGGAGTTAGTTCCCGACGGCAGATTTGGGAATTTTTTTTTTGTGAGGATTGTGGTTTTGGAGTGGTAGGCTAGTGGTGGTGATTTTAGTATTGAGATAATGGTTTTGCTATCGGTGGTGTCGATGTCATTGGTGGTAGAAATTTTTTTGTTTGTTGCGTTTGTTGTTGGTGGTGGTGTCGATGTTAGTGATGGTTGCTGGTTGTGGTCGTTCGGTGGTCATCGCAGTGTCAGTGGAGGTGCGGCTGTTATTGTAGATTTGATTTGTTGATTTTTTTGGGCAACGGTGGCAATGATTTTGTTGGATATTGTTGGTGGTGGTGGTGAGGTGGTAGTTTTGGTGGTGAGGTGATGGTGATTTTGAAGTGGAAAATGGTAGTTGTTGGAAGCGGTGGTGCCTGATGAATTAAGGTAGGGAGTGAAATTAAGAGGAATTGTGACCAATTATTTGAGGTTGTGACCATTAATTTGGGTAATTTGAGACTAAAAAATAACATGTGACCGATAAATAATATGTGACCTAAAAATTTGAATGACTTATGAAATTTGTGATTTATGACTGATAAATGGATTGTGATTTATAAATTTTTTGATTTGTAACTGAAAAATAAATTTGTAACCAAATTGTATAAAATTGCGATTAAGTTATGACGTATAAATTTTTTTATTTGTGACCAATGAACAAATTGTGACTTATAAAATTTCTGAATTGTAACCTCTAAAATTTCTGATTTGTAACCGATGATCAAATTGTGATATATAAATTTTTTGAATTGTGACCGTAAAATAATTTGTGATATTTCAATTTTTTATCTGTGATCGATGAACAAATTGTGACTTATAAAATTTTTGAATCACACTGTAAAATAATTTGTTACATGTAAAATTTGTGATTTGTGACAAATTAATAATATGTGACCAATTGTATAGAATTTGTGGCCAAATTATATGGAATTGTGAACTTAATGTATTTAATTAATAAAATATATGTTTAATTAATTTATAAATAAAATTTAAAAATATCTGAAATTTGAAATTTTAAACTTAAGTTTTTAAATTTGAAATTGGTAAAACTAAACCTCTTAGTTATGTATTGTTCCCTTTTAATATATTTTAATCCCGGGGTTATAGCCTATGAAGATAAATGGACCCACGATTTTTCATCATTGTCTAAAGGTTATTTGGGCATCACTAAAAGGGGTACTTATAAAAGTACCCTTAAAATTAGAGGTGTTTTGAAAAATCATATAAAAGGTTTTTATGAAGTAAAAAATACTGTATAAAATAAAAAAGTGACACAATGTCACTTTTTTTTTAAACTCAAAAAAAGTGATACATAACTCAAAAAAGTAACAAATACTTAAAAAAGCGACAAAACACTAATCAAAACCTATGTTTGTTATTCAAAAAAGTGATATAAATTTTTAAAAAGTAACAAACAATAAAAAGTGAAATTTTTTTTAGAAAAGTGGCAAAAAAATGTGACAAACGCTAAAAAACGTTACAAACACACAAAAAAAATGATAAAATTATCACTTTTTTTTTTTTTTTTAAAGTGACACAATGTCACTTTAAAAGTTTAGAGTCATTTTTTACAATCTCACTTTTATTAAAAAGTGATGTTTGTTACTAAAAAAGTGATTGAAATTTCAAGAAAACAACTGAAAAAAGTGA